ACGCTAGCGCGGCCTGCGAGACGTGCGCGCCAGACTAGCTGGCCGTCTTGCGCGCGAGCCTGCGCGCGCTAGCGCGGCCGCAGCGATGCGCCAGCCAGCGCCAAGCAGTCATCGCAACTGCCCCCACATGGGTTTTGCAAACCAATCTGCGGGTGAGTTGGATGATTGCGCGGGCAGCGGAGTTGACAACTCCCTGCGAACCAAAACATTACATTGCACCACATAGATGACGCAGCATGTAGATTGAGCAACCACATTCCCCAAACATTTTTTGCACTTCGGGGCTCTTGCTTCTGTTGGAGGAACTGGGCCGTGAGGTCGGTTTGGCTGCTATGCTCCCGCCGTCGCCGCCCCGTCGCCGCCTCAACGCCGCCCGTCGTCTGGGCCGTGTGGTCGGTCTGGTGGTTATATCCCCGCCGTCGCCGCGTCGTCGCCGCCTCGTCGCCGCCCGTCGCCGCCGTTGCGCCACATAGGTCGCGCGAGGAATCACATGGCGCTTGTGGCACGCTTAATGACCGCTCGCAACATATATAGCACCACCTATACCGCTCTATAAAAACTGCACCAATTATGCTCCACAACCACACGTATGTCACCATATATACTGTACAACTTCGATTGCATCACGTATATTGCAGGACATATCTTGAAAACCGCATAGATTGCACACCATATATTGCACAACAGACATTCTTCTTTCTAAAAAGAGAATAGACTCTACCCCCTCCCTCGTTATCCGCCCCCTTTTCGGGTATGTAAATCAAATATGATTATGAACACATGTCCATCCCAACTATGAGTTTGCACTGCCCCAGAGGGGCTGGGATCGGTCCCCGTGAGGTTCCCTTGTAAACAAACGATACGGGGGGACATCTTTTGCTCTAACATAACACGTTTCACGAATCCCTTGCAAAAAATGGGACGACATGCGCACGCGCGCGCCGTCGCGCGCGCATGCCGAAATCCTTCAAACACATTCGATGCCAGAAGGATTTCGCAATCGAGTTTCCAAAAAGCATACAAAAACACTGGGTTTCGCAACACTGGTTTGCTAAAAAAACTTACGCGCGAACTCTTCCGAAATCTTGAGGAAACCATATGTTTTCCGGATTTTCACAAAATGCTACCAAACGGGCTTCGTGCGCGCATGTCGAAATCTGTCGAACGCCCTTGCGCGTGTGCCGTCGCGAGAACCCTCTGCAAAAAATGAGACGGAGTGCAGACGCGCGCGTCGTCGCGCGCGTGTGCCGAAATTCTTCAAAACCCATCGGTTTCGGAAGGATGTCAAAATCGTGTGTCCAAAAAATCCTACAAAAACGAAAGGTTTCGCAACACGGATGTTCAACAAAAGCGTGCGCGCGCTCTTGCGTCGTCGTCATCGTCGTCGTCGTCGCCGTCTTCCATCCTCCCGCGTCGTCGTCGTCGTCGCCTACGTCGTCCTCTGTCTTTCCTCGTGTTCGTTGTCGTCGTCCTCTTTGGCGTCGTGGTCGTTTCCGTCGTCGTTGTCGCCGTGGTCGTCCTTTCTCCTCCTCCCTCGTCGTCGTCGTCGTCCGTCGTCGGCGTCTCGTCGTCGTCCCTCCTATTTCGTCGCCGTCGTCGTCGTCGTCGTCGTCGTCGTCGTCGCCGTCGTCGTCGTCTTCCCACCTCCCTCGTCGTTGTCGTCGTCGGCGTCGCCGTCCTCCGTCCTTCTTCGTCGTTCGCGCCGTCGCCGTCCTCCCTCCTCCCTCGTCGTTGTCGTCGTTGTCGCCGTCGTCGTGCTCCCTCCTCGCTCGTCGTCGTCGTCGTCTTCGTTGGCGATGTCGTCGTCGGCGTCGGCGTCGGCGTCGGCGTCGGCGTCGTCGTCGTCGTCGTCGACGTCGTCGTCGTCGTCGTCGTCGTCGCCGCCGTCGTCGTTGTCGTCGTCGTCGTCGTCGACGTCGTCGTCGTCGGCGTCGTCGACGTCGTCGTCGGCGTCGTCGTCGTCGGCGTCGTCATCGTCGTCGTCGTTGTCGTCGTCGTCGGCGTCGGCGTCGTCGTCGTCGTCGGTGTCGTCGTCGTCGTCGTTGTCGTCGTCGTCGAAGTCGTCGGAGACGTCGTCGGTGTCATCGTCGTCGTCGTCGTCGGCGTTGTCGTCGTCTTCGTCGGCGCCAGTGTCGTTGCCAAGTGCCACTTGGAACCTACCGTCACGGTCTTCAGAGGTTTTGCAAACCAAGTTGCGGGTGGGTGGGTGGGATGTTTGCAAGAGCATGAGATGTGTCACATCATGGGTCAAAATCAATTGCACCACATAGGTTGCACCGCATAGCTCGCAGCACGAATATTTCACCGCGGTCGCTCACAACGCATAGTGCACTGCATACGTTGCACAACATAGATCGTGCCAGCACTATTGCATCACATCTATAGAATAGTCTATATACGTTACAACATACAGTGCACCACGTATGTTGCACAAAGTGGATTGCTAGAAACACACTGCTGGTGGCCCGCGCTAGCTAACGTATGAATGTATGTATGCATGTAAGGATGTATGCATGCATGCATGTGTACATGCATGTATGCATGTACGAATGTAAACATGCATGTATGCATGCACGCATGTATGTGTGTATGTATGAATGTAGGCAGGCATGTAGGTAGGTCGGTAGGTAGGCATGCATGCATGTGTGCGTATATGTTTGTAGGTGTATGTTTGTGTATGCATATGTTCACATATGCATACATATAGTGCGTATAGATATACATGTATGCATATACATGCGTACATGCATGCATGTATGCAGGTATGTCTGTCTGTATGTATGTATGTAAGTATGTATGTGCGTACGTATGTATTTGTATATACACATATATATATATATGTATAGATATATCCGTAAGGGCTTCGCCCCATGCCGCCGGCCCCCTGTCTCGGATAATGGGAGATGCAAAAGCTACATCATGAGGTCTGGGCGCCGCCGTGAAGGAGTGACGGGACCTGTTTGTTTTTGGACCATGACCCTACGGATCTGCGTGACGGGTGCCGCCGAATTCCAGAAATGTGGCACATCCCCTGTGTTTTTGGACCTTGACCCTACGGATCTGCGTGAGGGGTGCCGCCGAATTTTAGAAATGTGGCAAACCCCTTTTGTTTTTGGACCCTGACCCTGCCGATCTGCGTGAGGGGTGCCGCCGAATTTCCTAAATGTGGCAAATCCCCGATGTTTTTGGACCCTGACCCTGCCGATCTGCGTGAGGGGTGCCAGCGAATTTCAAACATGTTGCAAATCCTTTGTGTTTTTGGACCCTGGCCCCGCCGATCTGCGTGAGGGGTGCCAGCGAATTGCAAAAATGTGTCAAATCCCCGATGTTTTTGGACCCTGACCCCGCCGATCTGCGTGAGGGGTGCCAGCGAATTTTCGAAATGTGGCAAATCCCGTATGTTTTTGGACCCTGACCCCGCCGATCTGCGCGAGTGGTACCAGCAAATTTTAGAAATGTAGCAAATCCTTTGTATTTTTTGACCCTGACCCCGCCGATCTGCGTGAGGGGTGCCAGCGAATTTTAGAAATGTGGCAAATCCTTGTTGTTTTTGGACCCTGACCCCGCCGATCTGCATGAGGGGTGCCAGCGAATTTCAGAAATCTGGCAAATCCCGCTTGTTTTTGGACCCTGACCCCGCCGATCTGCGTGAGGGGTGCCACCGGATTTCAGACATGTGGCAAATCCTTTGTGTTTTTGGACCCTGACCCCGCCGATCTGCGTGAGGGGTGTAAATTTTTACCCACCCCAGCAATTCAGAGCATACGCTCAGGGCGTGGTAAAAATGCCCGTTTTGGGCCTCCCCCCCTCGCGCGGTCCATCAACAAGGAACAGTAAGCAGCAAGAAGCAGAACTGTATACAGGAAACTGCGAACCTTAGGCCTACAGCCTGGTGGCCCCACAAGGGGGCCGGCGGATATATATCTATATAAATATATATATATATATATATATATATATATATATATGTATATATACAGTTGCCTTCTGCGCTGACATGACTGAGCCGAGTGATGCTTTACCATGGTGCCGGCTCATCGTCGAGTCCCTTGGGAAATGGGCGTTTGCTATCGCTAGCGTGCATTTTCCCGATTCTATTGCGGATGCGCCGTCCGCCAATGCCGCGGACGACGCGCAAACGCTACCACATGTTTGTCCGGAGTGCCACAAGAGGTTCCCAACCACGCGTGCTCTTGAGAGTCATCGCCGTGCCAAGCACAAAGTCTCGGCCCCACAGCGCTACTTTGCCCCTGCCTCTGGCGTGTGCCCGAGCTGTGGTACTTGTTTCCGCTCGCGCCTGCGCCTCCTCGGACTCTTATGCGATCGAAGGCGCCCCAAATGTTGGGACGCTATCCGTGTGCAGCCGAAGTTGAAGCTTCCAGATGACGTTGTGGCCCGGCTCGACGCTGCGGACAGCAGGTCTCGCCTCTCCGCCCGTCGGGACGGCCACTCTCACGACCTCGCCGTTGGCGCGGCACAGCGTGCTGACGGCAGGGTGGTTGGCAGAGCATCTCGGTAACTGATTTGTATGTCTGCCAGCCGCAGCGAATTCATCCAGACGCCTCATGGCCATCGGGTAGGAAAAAAAGAAAATATCTATCTATCTTTATATATATATATATACATATATCGATGTCGCGGCAGACCGGCAGCGTAGACTTGTTCGCGGCGCTGTGTGTCTGGGTCGACACGGACGGGAGGATGGCCGCGGCATCCCGTCCGTTCGGTCGGTGGGCGCCGAGCCCTAGCCGCCGTCGGTTTTGCCGCCCCCTCCCGCCTGCGCGGCCGCCTCCCGCGTCGCCGCCTCTTCCTCGGGCGCCCAGCGGTGTAGAGGCCATTGGCCCTGGCCAGGCACTCCCGCTCCCAGGGCTTTCTGAGAACCTCCAGGGCCCCCCCCCCCCCCGAGAGTCGCCAGAGGCCCTTCGCGAAGGCCTCCGACGGCCGAGGCGTGGCCCTGGCCAGGCACGGCGGCGGTGTGCAGGTGGCCTCTGCGGACGCAGGCGGGGTGGCGTCCTGGCGGCGTTGTGCTGCTCGCCAGGGGGAGGCGCGGGCGAGGCGCCGCCGTCGGCCACCGCCGGAGGGCGCCTGGATCTCGAGCAGGGGCCCGCCAGCGAGAAGGTGGCCGACCTGACGGAGCCGCAGGACTCGGGCCAAGACGCGGCCCGCGGTAGAGAGGAGGCAGATACAGCATATGGCAGCCGATCGTGTCCCCCTAGTCGTTTTGCCCAGTGCTCTGACAGCGCCCAAGGTTCCCGGATTCCTCTCGGCTTTCGGGTAGTTCCTTGCAGGCGGGGAAGGCAGCACTATTGTGGAACATTGCAAAAGAGCAGCGCGTTCACCCAGGGCCGGAGAGCGTGCCGCCTCTCTCCTCGAAGGGCAAAAAACGGCAATGGCATGATGCATCGGACGTTCGCGCGGACACCCAAGAAGTTATGTTTATGCAGTCTGTTGTTCTTCTACCTCCAGGCACATCTTGAAGGTCGTCAGGCAGCGTCCACAGCGAGGATGCGCTGCTTCATCAAGAGGCTGCCCTTGCATCCCTGCTTCTTCGGCCCATCCAGAGCCAGTTGTTGACTTCCCAGCAGCTCCAAATGGTAAATGGGACTTCCAAAGGTCTTGCCTCCTTACCGTGCGCCCTTACTACCGATTTTTACCGTGTGTGATCTGAGGGTTATCTGGCCGCCCCGCGGCCTTCTTTCTCCTCGCCCGTCGCCCGCCTGCCCCACCCCGTGTGCCTCCATTCGCAACGGCTGCGCCCCGCCGTTCGCTGGACCGCTTGTCGGGCCCACTTCGCGACAGAGCGCGAGGGCGCGAAGACGACCGCGCGTCGCGGGGCGCGAGGCGCGGAGCAGCCGGGCCAGCGCTCGATCCGCAGCCGATTCGCACGGCGACGCCACGGTATGGCAGCGCCGCGCGGCGCCTCCCGCCCCCGCCGACCGCCTGCCGATCGCGGACGGCAGCGGGGCGCGAGCCGCAGCTTGGGGGTGTGCGGGCCCCGCCGGCCGCACGAGCGACGAAGGAACATGGCTTCGTCTTCGCCGACGCTGTCGCGCAAGCTGCCCGCGTGAGGTCGCGCGTGAGCGCCCTCTTTCCTTCCAATGCAGCGTGCCGCGCTGGCGGCCCGCGTAAGCCACCGCGGAGGTCGCTATGTCAGTTGCGTGGGGCCCGCTTGTTCTCGTCGCCCACACGTGCCCAGGTCAACCCAAGGTGCTGGGCGCGAGGCGCGAAGTTGGGCGACCTGGGAGAGCCAAGAAGCGATCGGCACGAACCCAGGCCGCCCAAACTGGGCCGGCGTGGATCGGTGGATCGAGCCGCATCGCTGATGCGTCGGCGGTGTTGCTCGATGTGGAGCCCGATTCTCTCCACGCCGACGTCACCGATGCATCGGCGATGCGGCGCGCAACCCCATCTGCTCGGACCCTATTTGGGCGGCCTCCAGTGACGGACGCGAGTCCTCGAGGGTTCCCATGGTTCGGTCGGCTCGGCTGCGTGCAGCGGATTGCGCTCTGTCGGTTCGGTTCGGTCAGAAGAGCAGAGCAAGCAAGGTCAGAAGAGCACGCGCAAGAGCAGAGAGCGAAGTTTCGGAGGCCAGTGCGGACTTCTTGGGTCGGCAGTCTGACGAGGTCGCCCCAGGGCGCGCGAAGATGATCACGCTTCGCGCATCGCGGCTCGGGTCGGAGAGGCGCCCCTCTCCAGGGTGGCCTCGCGAGGGTGCGAAGATAGCCGCTGGGTCGCGCATCGTGGGGCGCGATGCGGGAAGTTGGGCGACCTAGGCACTGGACTCCCGCTCCCCACGCCCCTGGGCGCCGCTCTCGGCACCGCCCCTGGCGCGCTCCGCGCGCCTGGGGCGAGGAGGGCGGAGAAGTGGGGAGGGCGGCTCCAGCGCTGGCCGAGGGCGTCCGCGTGGACCTGCGATAGGCCAGGGCCACCCCGCCCGCGTCGACCTCCCGGGACTCCACGGGCGGAGGGTGGTGTAAGATAGGCAGGCGCTTCCGCGATCGGGGGCGCCGGTCCCAGGTCGGCTGGGAAGCTTATGCCCATATGGTGGCAGGTGGGGTATAAACTGTCCAGCCGCCCTGGGACAGGCGCCCCCGACCGCGGGCAAGTCGGTGTTGTACCGGTCTTCGCCCGCGGAAGCAGACGAGACGAGAGGGCCCCGACGCGCCTCCAGGGGGAAGGTTCAAGGCAGCCGACGAGATCCTCGAGCAGACCAAGATGGGTCAGAGCGGCTGCCCTTCTCCAAGGAAGCGGCGCGAGGGCGCGAAGATAGCCGCGCGTCGCGCATCGCGATGCGCGAAGTTGGGCGGCCTAGATCGGGCGGAGCTAGGACGAGGATAAGTTCGTTTCAGAGCGTTCCGCAACGCTCTCAGAGCGTTCGGGAACGCTCTGAGAAGGCCGCGGCGCCCGAGACATCCTCCAGCGTCGCCGGATTTTAGAGATTCTCGCTTTATCCTCACCTGATTATATGCTCGTCCTGGCTTCGTCTCCGCCCAGAGGACTGGGGCATCTTCTTCTGCCACGTGGACCTCCTCGCCGGCGGGAGCCTCTTCCCGCCCAGCAACTGCTCGGCGCTCCAGGCGGCGGGGCTGCTGCCGGAGGAGGGCTCGCTCCTGCAGAAGCGCTACCGGGTGCGCGCCGAGAGCTCCGAGGCTCGAAGAAGAGAGCGCGGCGCCAACGTCGAGTCGAAACCGATGATAGGGATGGGTCACCTTCCTCCCAAGGGTACCCTTGCATCCCTGCCTCTTCGGTCCATCCTCAGCCAGATTCGACGGCCAGCCCCCCTCGAAAAGCTTCGACATGCGCGTCCAAGGTGCTTGCATCCTCATTGCGCATCCCTGCTATCAGTTTTGACTGTAAGCTTTTGATGACGGTCCGCGCGGACTTCTTGGATCTGCGCTCGACCCCCTCCCTGGCGCGCGGAGCGCGCCAAGGGCGGCGTCGGAGGCGCCGCCAGTGGAGCCCGGGGCGCCGATCCAAGGAATCCGCGCGGACCGTCAAACGCTTGTTTCTGCCTGTTCCAACGTGCTCTTCCTCCAGAGGTGGACGTCGGGGCAGAGTTCGACCCGCGCCTCTCCCAGTCCCGCCGCCTGGCCCTGCCGGTGCGCCTCATCGAGAGGGCGGTTGGGCGTTGCGTAATGGAGGGGTCATAAATGGGGGGTGGCGAGGGTGGTCCGAAAAGGTACCCAAACGGTATCTAAACGAGCCCCCTGGGGCTCCGGAGGGGCCCGAAAGGGGCAGGAAAGGGGACCGTTTCTGACCCCCCCATTTGTGACCCCCCCATTAAGCCACGCCCGAGGCGGTCCGGCCCCCAGAGCCGGAGTCGCTGTACGTGGAGCCCCCCCCGCCGGTGCTGGTCGAGGTGTCGGTCGTGGGGCAGGGCAACGGAGAGGAGCGGCGGGGCCGGGATCGGGGAAGAAAAGCAGGGACCGACCAGCACGCCGCTTAGCTTGTTTGGGGCCTTTGTTGTGTTTTTTGCTCAGCATTTCGTTGTTGCTGTGTCTCGTGGATCGTGTTTGCTTCGAGCACCTCGCTTCGTTGGTCGATTCGTGTGGCACCAGTTTCGTTTGGAGCGCCACTTCGTTTTGAGCATCGTTGTGGTCGGTCCTCGCCGAGAACATGGCATGGACACGCATTTTCGGGGGTCTGTGCGAATTTCTTCGATCGGCGCTGGGCCGGCCCTCCTCCTTGGAGAACGGAGCGCGCCAGGGGTGGCGCCAGAGGCGCCGCCAGGGGGCTCCAGCACAGATCCAAGAAATCCGAGCGGAGCTCCAGAAGATCATGCTTGCGTTGTTTGCTCGTTCCTCTAATTACGGGAGCAATCCTCAACATCGTTCGATTGATCCCTCTCCCCGTCCGCATCCCCATCCCGATCCTCACCATCCCACCACCCCAGTTGGGCATATGCCTCTGGAAACCCGAAGGGAACAGCCTGCATCCCCATCGAGGGGGCTAAATCGGCCGGTTGGGCCCAGGCCATGCCATTGGAGGTAGGGATCGGTTCAACGATGCTCAAATCCGCCCACCCTTCGGCCGCCAGAGTGCATGTCCACGTCCACCGCCTTGGAGTCGTGCCCCGGGATCTGGAGGAGCTCCTCTCGAGGAGCTGCGGGTGCGGGTATCTGCCCGCCCCTGGGGGGCGGGAAGGTATCCATTTCGTAGGTCGCCTCTAGGGGCGCCGTTCTCCACGGCGGCGGCGCGAGGGCGCGAATATAACTGCGCGTCGCGCATCGCGGGGCGCGGCGCGCGAATCTAGGTGGCCCAGACATCCGCCTTTCCCCAGGGGATCGCTGGGCAGGACTCCAGCAGCCGTGGGTGTGGTGCTTTCTGGCGGTACTCAACCGGTCCTCTTCCCCCTCACGACCGCCGCTGCCCAGCAACCACTACCAGGGCCATCACCCAGTAGACGGGCCTACAGCCGACAGGGAGGTGGAGGGCGGGAGTGGCCTTTTTTTGCTTGCCTCCAGGCATTAATTAGTCCGTCAGGCGTTCGTCCATCCTTCTGCGCATCCGTCCGCCCATCCGTCATTGCCGCGGTCCATACGTCCATCCATCAATCCATCCATCCATCCATCCATCCATCCATCCATCCATCCATCCAAGACGCAAACGATGCACAATTACTTGGCAACTGATTCGCGACGATTCGCGATTGACTCGCAATGGATCGACACTTGATTCACGATTTAGCGATATTGAGTGACGTTTCACATGCTGTGGCTTCACTGTGACGCAGAGAGCTCACATTGCTTCACATTGAGAGACGTCACTTGTTTGATCGCGGATTCTACACATCGCCTCACAATGTATCTGATTATACGTCGGTCGCACTTGACACCACGACTTCGCGTACAGTTAACTCATATTCGATTCACACTTGGGGCACACTCGATTTTCAGGTGTTCCTGCATTAACCCACAATGTATCCGTAACGTGTTCCGCATTGGTTTACAGCCGAGTCACGACCTATACGCAATGGATCCCTAACGAGCCACACTTGTCTTAAGCTTTATTCATAATTTATTTGCATACTCACATCATGACATCACAGCACGACGACACCGCCACAACGCGACTGTGCGACATCGCGGCGCCGCTGCAATCGAGCCACGATATGTCCACGACCGATCTGCACCTGACCCACAAGCGAGCCACAACCGAGCCGCGGCTTTGCATCAGCCAATCCAGAACCTGTTCCCGGACTGCCAACCAGCATCAGCAGCCGAAGTGCCGTCCTCCCACTGCAACCCTGGGTCACCCGAGAGCGCGCGGTTCGGGCCCGTGCCCCTCTCCAGGGCTGCAGGGCGAGAGCGCGAGTGCGCGAGAACTACCGCGCATCGCGGGGCGCGGGGCGCGGGGCGCGAGGTTGGGTGAGCGCAGCTACCTCACAGCTGGCTCGCAGCCGCTCCGCGCTCGATCCGCAGCCGACCCGCACCACGACGCCACGGCGCTGCGACGCCGCGGCACCGCGACGCCGCGGCGCCCTGCCGCCCCCCGTCGCCCGCGGACGGCAGCGGAGCGCGAGCCGCAGCTCGGGGAAGGCGGGCCCCACCGGCCACACGGGCGGGCCGTTGCCCTCGGGCACAGCTGCGCACGGCCGCCGCAGGGCCGCGTTCGATCTCGATCGGTCCGAAGCGATGCCGACTCCGCCCCGGTGCGAGTCGATCGGGCACCGAGCTGTGGGCAGGCCGACGCGGCCCCGGTGCCCGCACGGCAGGGCCGTGCATCCCGGCGCGGCCGATGCGATTCGATTCCGATTCTGTGCGGGGCAGCCCGATCCGATACGGGCTCCGATCCGATGCGACCATAGCGGTTCGATGCTCGCTGCTTCGGCGTCACGCACCAAGAGAAAAGCGCGGTTAGTTACACTGTCGGGGGGTGTCAACTGTCCGCCTCGCCAGGCCGATCGTGAGCCCAGGATGGGCCTGGCCAGGATCGGTGAGGTGGACAGCTGACGACCCCCGAGCAAAGCGGCCAGCGGCTGGTAAGGAGGCTGGGCGTGGGATCGGCATCACAATGAACTCGCATTAACGCGTCCAGACATTTGTCCTTCCCTTCGTTCGTGCATGCTCTCGTCCATCAATCACCACCTCAGTCCATGCATCCACGACTCTATCGGTTCACGCTTGTTTCACAATCGATTCGCTATCGACTCGCAATGAGCTTAGAATTGGCGCAGGCATAATTTTCGGTTGATTCTCAATTCCGTGGAACAAAAAGTTTCCAATTGTTGCGCAATTGATCACGACATCCTTGCAATGTATTTGCACGTGTTTCTGACTTGATACTTTGATGCCATGACAGCGCGCACATTAGATTCGCACATAACTCGGGCTTGCATTGGATTCGGTACATAGCTCGGCCATTATTTGATCTGAACTTGCTTCGCATTCCAGTCACAACTTGCTCACACCCATTGTGCAATTGCTTGACACATCCAGATGCTTGCGGCCAGTTCTGCCACCGTGCCAGCTCAGCACTTTAATTGGGCGTCGAAGCTTCGAGCACCGAAGGCCGTCACATGTGACACCTCTCGTGTCCTTCTCTTGATGAGCTCTCATGGAACCTACTTTGGAATTTCTCGAGGCTGCCCTTGGCCCCTTGTGGGACAGTCTTGGGGGTCCCTTCGGGCCATCTTGGAGTTGGGGCAGTCTTGGGGCCATCTTGGAGCCCTCTTGGCCGTCTCGGGTCTCTCTTGGTTGTCTGGGAGGTCGTCTTGGGGCTCTCTTGGGGCCGTCCTGGGGTGTGGGGGCGTTCTTGGAGCTCTCAGTGTTCGAATCCTTAGAGAACCTCGGGAAGACCCAAGGGCGCGCCAGGGTCGCCCAGGGAAGGGGTTCACGCAGCCTGGGTGCCGTGAGAGGGGTGGGTCCCTTAGAAGACTTACAGAAGCCCCGCCATGTAGCCCTTGGGATTTACCGATGGGTCGCAAATCATACATATCCAAACGTTTCGCAATCGATTCGCATTTGATTCAAATGGTGTTCAAACTTGAATCTCACCGCGGCACCTGAACGCCATGGGGCGACGGCACCGCGATGCCATAACACCGCGACGCCATGACAGCGCGGCACCGCAACACTTCGACAAACGCATCGCCATTGATGCATATGACTCGCAAACAAGCCACAATCGGTTCGCAATTGACTCGCTATCAATGCACACCTTGCGCACAGTTGATTCGCAACATAATCTCAATTCAAGATGGTCAGTTTTCACAAAGAGGAGGACAACGCCGAGGAGAGGAAGGAGCAGGCAACGGGAGGAAGGATGCCAGCTCCCGTCAGGCGCCCTTTGGACTCGCAGTCGTCAAGAATTGCGAGTGGTGGCAGCACGACCTGGACCACGGCCTCGAGCCGATCAATCTGAACACAGCCCACAAGGCCCGTGCACACGTGCGGCCAAGTTCCCCCGTCTCGCCCTCATCGTCGTCGTCCTCCTCCTCCTCCTCCTCCTCCTCCTCCTCCTCCTCCCCCTGCACCCGCCGGCCCCTGCATAGCGATTTCGGCTCAAGATGTCAACGGCTGGTGCCATTGGCAAAACGCAGATAGCCTTGGTGCGGGCCATTCTGAATAGTACGCGAGGGTGCAGAGGGTGCACATGCGCTTCTTCTTGCATGAGGAGGCCGCGGTGGGCAACTCCTCCTACAGCCGAGACTCCTAAGTGCAATTGATCGTTATCGCAAGTCTTGCGCGCACAATGGCCCCAGGTCACCCGCAGGGGCGCGAAGGCAGCCGCGCTTCGCGCATCGCGGCCTGGGCTGAAGGAGCGCCCTTCGCCAGGGCGGCGGTGCGAGGGCGCGAAGATAGCCGCACGTCGCACATCGCTGGGCGCGGCCCGCTAAGTTAGGAGACCTGGAGGGCCAGTCTTGGTTCAACCGCGGCTCGACCATGCGTTGGACCAGGCGCAGGTTGCACAGGGGCGCCTGCGTCAGCTGGGCCTGGGCGCTCGACGGAACCGGCCAGGCGCGGAGCTGGAGTGGCCGCAGTCCGCCTCGAGGCCACGGACGGTGAGACAGGCGAGCGCGAGATGGAAAGATGGCGTCGCAACCGACAGCCGCCGCGCCTCCCGACATTGAGGCCGTGGACGTGGACCGCAGGGTTGCGGGATGTCGACAGGCGCAGTCGCAGCAAAACGGCGCACCCTACACCAGCCGCACCGAGTGCGCCACCATGCCCGCCTTCGCATCCCTCTATGGACTTACTACTTACTTTCAGGCGGGGCTGGCTGAGCTCAAGCGGAGGGCTCACGAGGCGACGCTGATCAGCAAGCGATGGATTTCGCGAGAGAGGAGGTGAAGCAGCCCGAGGCCACCAACCCCGAGCAGAACGCTGCTGTGAAGGTTGGCAAGCACAGTTGTGTATGAGACCCTGGCGACAGCCTTGCAGCGCAGTGTGACGCTACCGTTGGCACGACGTTCTTGGTGCCGAATTGTGCCACGACATCCTTGGAGCGGACGGGGGGACTCGCCTCCGAAGCCAGGTGCCGCGCCAAGCACCCACCAGCTCCTGCCTTGCAGGGAGTACGTCATGCAGGGACCGAGTGCCCATCTTGCATTTCATGGTGCTGGGAACGATCGGCTGCGCGTAAGAGTGGCCCTTCGCCATAGTGACCACGGGCGCGGACCCGCAGGGGTCCTCCCAGCACTGGCTCTTGCGCTTGGATTTGCTCCCCCCGCGGCCGATTGAAGCCGCGCACGAAATGCCACACTTGTCCAGGGCCACTCTTGCGTGTGGCTGGGATGAGTGGCATCGCGAAGCGGCATCGGCCTTCAGCGAACCTCGCAGCAGAGGGTGGAAGAAAAGGAGCAACGTGTGGAGGGGCAACGCTCGGGTTAGGGGGGGGCAGCGTTTAAGGGGGGGGTCAGGCTCAGGGCGGGCATGCATCGACCCCATCGCCCATTCTTCGCCGAAAGGGGTCCGATAATCCCCAATCGCCCATTCTTCGCCGATATGGGGCCCGACAGCTTCACCCCGCCCAGGAGCATGTGGATTTGCTGTCGGGGGCCTATCGCCGATCTATCGGCGACGTCTTGCCGATTCCAGCTCGATTCTTCTCACCTGAGCAGGTCCCCCCCTGTCGCTCCCCCTCAACACCGTGTGCGCAGACTGGCGACGGGTCCCGCTTTCATGTAAAATCGTCTCGCTCCGTCGCCAAGTGAGGCGGCATAGGCGGCATAGGCTTCAAGTTTCGGGGGCTTTCCCCGATCTGTGGTGGCGCCCACGCGCCAGAGCCACGGATCCATAATTCATGTTAGCGTGCGCCAGAATGGGACACAACGTGTGCGAGGGATGTGCCGAAAAAGCGGGGGAGCGGGCGAGTGTTGGCGTGCCCACTCGCGCCCCCTGCCAGGTTCCCCCGTACGTGGGGCCCGAGGTGTGCGGTGGGTGCGCCCGCAGCCACGACAGCAAGAGTGGTGAGTGGCGGCAGCGGAGGCAAGAGGAGGAGGAGGAGGAGGAGGAGGAGGAGGAGGAGGAGGTGGAGGAGGAGGAGGAGGAGAGGAGGAGAGGAGGAGGAGGGGAGGAGGAGGAGGAGGGGAGGAGGAGGAGGACGGGGAGGGGGAGGAGGAGGACGGGGAGGGGGAGGGGGAGGGGGAGGGGAGGGGGAGGAGGAGGAGGAGGAGGAGGAGGAGGAGGAGGAGGAGGAGGAGGAGGAGGAGGAGGAGGAGGAGGACGAGGAGGAGGAGGATGAGGAGGCGGAGCAGGAGGAGGAGGAGGAGGAGGAGGAGGATGGGGGAGGGAGGAGGAGGAGGAGGAGGAGGAGGAGAGGAGGAGGAGGAGGAGGAGGAGGAGGAGGAGGAGGAGGAGGAGGAGAAAGGGAGGCGGAGGAGGCGGAGGAGGAGGAGGAGGAGGAGGAGGAGGAGGAGGAGGAAGCGGAGCAGGAGGAAGAGGAGGAGGAGGAGGAGGGAGAGGAGAAGGAATAGGAGGAGGAGGAGGAGGAGGAGGAGGAGGAGGAGGAGGAGGAGGAGGGGGAGGAGGAGAAGGACGAGAGAAGGAGGAGGAGGAGGAGGACTAGTGTAAACCGAGGAGTCATCAACGATGTCGGAATTAACCCTCCCTCCAAGCTCCTTCTTCACAGGCCCCTACAACGATTCATTTCCGTTGAGAAAACTGCCTCGTTGGAACACAACCGTTTGAAGATCCTGAAGCATGCCAAAACATTGTTCTCGGCATTTCAACGCCACGTATCAACCTGACTGCTGCGTCTTGACGATCCGGACTCGTCCCAGAACGTCATTGTTGGGACTTCAACACCGTGAGTCAACATAACTGTTGCACCCACATAATCCTGATTCATTCCAAAACACTATTTCTGGTACGCTGATCATGGGAATCCGTGAAACGATTGCAAATGTTTATAGCGAATGTGCGTTGCGCTAAGGCGAGAGTCACCTTTTGAAAAGAAACGGCCCTCCATCCGTGAAAATCTTGCAAACTTTTTCTAGCATGTGCGCGGCGCTAAGGCGAGAGCCACATTTTGAAAACGACCCGCCCTCAATCCGTGAAGCTCTTGCAAATGTTTAAAGCGAACGCGCGCGGCGCCAAGGGGAGGGCCACATTCTGAAAACGACTTGCCCTCAATCCGTGCAACTTTTGCAATGTTTGAGAATCAGCGTGCGCAGCGCTAAGGCGAGAGCCACATTTTGAAAACGGCCCGCCCTCAATCCGTGAGACTCCTGCGAGTTTTGAAAGCGAATGTACGCGGCGCTAAGGCGAGAGCCACATTTTGAAAACGGCCCGCCTTCCATCTGTGAAGCTGTTGTCACTTTTAAGCTTCAGAGTCATAAGTGGTGAGGAAGTCTTAGGCGAAACGCTTGGCCCGCCCTAAAAGCTGGCCTCGGGGTGCGACAGGGAGAAGTTATCTATAAAGAGAAGGCATGGAGGAGGAAGAGGACGAGGAGGAGAAGGAGGACGAGGAGGAGCAGGAGGAGGAGGAGGAGGAGCAGGACGAGGAGGAGGAGGACGAGGAGGAGGAGGAGGAGGAGGATCATTAGTGGAGGATGAACCGATGCTGCTACCCTTCCCTCGTACCTCATCACCACGACTGATGGCTGGATTCGCCTCGAAGCCCTGCCCCCCCAGACGAGGCTGAGGGAGGAGAATTGCGGCGGGCTGCGGCAGGGCCACGGCACCTGGCTGGGCAGCTAAGGGGGAGCAGCGGGGCCGGTCCAGGGCACGACGGCGGTTCGGAAACATTTCCGACACCCCCAGGGCAAGCCGGGGCCGAAGACGCAGCCAAGGCGGCCCCTGGTGTAACCTCCCCCCCGCGGCCACCAGCGACGCGCGTGGGAATTGGAGACGCAGGCGGAGGGTATTCTTTTATACCAGCACGGAGGGGCCCTGTGGCACGACAGAAGACAGACGAACGACGGACGACAGACGAGAAACGACAGGAAGGCGCCCGGGGGAAGGGGAGGAAGAGGGAGAGGGGAGGGCCGGGGGGGCGCCCGCACGCGCGGCGCCAGCCCCGCTCAGCCCAGGAGCCGCTGCCGCCTGGGCCGCGGCGCCCACGATGCGCAGGCAGGGCCACGGCAGCAGCAGCCGCCCAGGCGGCTAGAAGGCCGCTCCAGCGATGCTGCCCGCCATGGCGCCCATGAGCTTCGCGAGCTCGGTGTCGCCGATGCGGCCCACGGCCGCCGCGACCCGGCGCCGAAGCTGCCGGATCTTGCCGCCTTCTGGGGCTTCCAGCCGGCACGCGGTGGCCACCGCGGCGGGGTGATCCACGCCCGCCAGCGCCAGCACAAGCACCAGGGCCTCCCAGTGCAAACGCGCGTGGCCTGCCTCGGGCCGCGGCCTGGAGCCCGAGGGGCCACTCGCCGCCCCGGGAAAGAGCGACGCCGCCGTCCCCGCTTAGGGAGGGGGCGCTGGCTGGCCCGCGGCCTCAGCACCAGAGGGCTGAGTCGCGGGTCCGGGAGGAAGCACCTTGGCACTCCCTAAAGAATCCTTAGCGTTTCCCCAGGAAACCTTAGGACTCCGTAGGAAATCCTCTGGAATCCCTCGGGAATCCTTAGGGAATCTTTCGGAATCCCTGGGGAATCCTTCGGACTCCGTAGGGAATCCTTAGGGAATCTTTCGGAATCCCTGGGGAATCCTTCGGACTCCGTAGGGAATCCTTGGGGAATCTCTAGCACTCCCGAAGGAATCCTTCGGACTCCCTAGGGGAAGGAGGGGAATTTTGGGGCGGCGGTCGCCGCGCACATTGTTTTCAAACATGACGTTCTCGCCTCCGCGCCGAGCACATATTTGGCAGCGTCCCGATAGCGATTGGAGCCTTGTTGGGACTGCGGAGGTCGGTAGGGCCTGCGCGCGGCGTCCGCCGTCTCCGTCCAGGGCCCGCCATGCCCCGCGTTTCCCTTGAAGGGCCTGGCGCGCCGCCGTAGACA